TTCATCGTGGAAAAATTTTTATTTACTCATTTATTTGCTGAAATCTATATTTATTTGCTTTTCAAATAAATAAATATCTCTTGATATTGAAATGTCTCTTGAATACTCTAATTCTTAAGGCAAAATTGAAAAAAATATTCTCACCTAATAATTTTCAAGAAAATTATCCCTTATAATGTTCTTGAAATTCCATCATCGAAAAGTTTCTATTCAATCATTTATCTATATTAAACTTATTTTATATTTTTATTTCAAACTTTTTTATCATTTTAAAAAAATCCTTTAATATTGAAATTTCTTCTAAATTCTCCAACCATTTTGGTAGAATTTAAGAAAGCTCTTTCATGTAGAAACTTTCAAGAAAATTATCTCTTATAACGTTCTTGACATTCCATCATCGTATAGTTTTTATTTACTCATTTATTTATGTTAAACTTATCATATATGTTTATTTCAAATTTATCAAATAAAGAGAAAAACTAAAAATAATAAAATAAATACCAAAATAAAATAGAAAGGAAAAGAAAAAGAAATAAATAAGTCTGTACATTTTTATGTGAACTAGACATACCCCTTTTTAAAGCCTATTACTTCAAACAAGCCATAGGCTAGGATTGGACTAGGCCTTAGTCAACATGGGTCAACAATCAATGGTCAACATCAACCTCTTTCCTCTTCAATATAAAAAAAAGCTATTGGTGGGATTCGAACACAGGGCTTCCCACTCACCAAACTATTAGTATGAGCCTTACAAGCCAATTAGTGGTTGTATGAGAATTGAACTTTACTCTATTATGTATGACATTTATAATTTATAATAACATTGAGGTAGTTCTTTATCCATGAGTCTGTAATTTAATTACTATTTATACTTATTTAGACAAAGCACATGGAAGTATATACGCTTTGCAAAAAATTGTATTAAGATACAATTTTGAGATGTTGAAGCATCAAAGCATTGTTTCTAAAAGTTCATGATCATTGTATTATTGAGACAGGGTATTAATAATGCTCAAATATCGGCACATATTATGTTCTTTACCTATGAAGTAGACAATCGATCTCATAAGTTGAAGTTTAAAGATACTTAGAACTAGTATATAAGTGCTTGTCTTGGGAGAATAAGTTCACTAAACATGACACGACATGAGAAATGCATTTGGTATCTCAGTATAACGTCTATGCAAATATTTCTCATGTGTTAGTTATATAAATACTCCTTCAACTTTGAGACACCAAATTGTCTTTTATGTGGAGTGCTATATTTGATTATATCACTACGGGTTTTACCAAGGATGCCAAAATAGGATATGATTGGTTATAGTATGAAGCATATAAAGGCAAATGAGTAATCAAGAAAGGAATCATCACCCCAAGTGTTCGTAATAAATTAACATAGTTCTTATAGTAATGCATAGAAATTAATAGATTTTATTTAATTATTTTAAATTAATTAATTTAGGTGAGTCAATCTAATCTTAGTTAATTTTATACTTAAATTAGTGTTAATGTGATTAAGATATGTTGTTCTTTATTTATTTGTCTTTTTAGGTATTTGATGAAAAAAGAATTTTAGTGGAAGAATGAGAGCACTTTCAAGGTAGAGACTTACACTGTATATTTCAGTATTTTGACCACAACTTTCTTTGTAGAGATCTAAATGAAGCTATTCTTGAACCATTGAAAAGATAAGAGAAAAATATACAACTTTCATGTTTGTCTAGTTCGACCTGAAAAATGGTCAAAAATCTTGTCAAAGTTGACACATTGCAGCAATCTTAGAGCAATTATGATTTCTATTCATTAATTGGGCAAGGTTGTGACCCACGTAGTTTGATGAAGAAATCCTAATTGGAATTGACTTCTTTCTTCACCCAACTTGGCCTAACTTCAAAGCCTTATAAAAACAACTTTTCAAAGGACTTTGAGGAGAAAAAACAATGAAATATCAGATTGACAGTTGAGAATTAAGCCACAAAGTCATTGAAGCTGAAAAGAATGTGAAAGATTCAAGAAAACTTAAAAGATGAAGATTACAATTCTTGAGTTTTATCTTTTTGATTATTCTTTTATTTTCTTAGTTTGTTTTTATTTTTAAACTTAATTTGATGATGATGTATGACTTAATGAGGAACTAAGGTTTTAATATAAGGTTATGATTGAACTTAATATTCAATCTGAATTATTTATCTCTTTTTTTGCTTATATTTGATGGATTTAAGTTGTTTATTTTATTCTATTTTTAATACTTCTAATTGTCTGATCATCAATTAAATTAAATTGGAAACCTAAGTTAAACCTTGACGAAGGAGATTTAGGAATACCTTGAATAGAATAGTGTATGATCGAATGCACTTAGTTGATTAAGTGGTTTGATTTGCATATAAAATAGATATATACTTATAAGCCATACGTAGCTAAGATTAGAATATAAACTTAATGAATCTTTCTTCAATTTAATTTGCAAAAACATACAGTAAATTAACTGAGATATGTATTTTTATAAAAAACTCGATAGAGACTTGTAAATAATTTAGGACTCTAGGTTAGCAACTTAATCTATTAAACTAAGTTAAGAGAGAGAAAAAGTAATCTGATGAAGTATTGAGGGATATCATAATCTTAGGTTTGGTAGTTAAATGAGTTTTATTTACTATTTAATTTTAGTTTTAGTTTATTAGTTTTAATTTTCTTTTTTATTTTATTTGTTTGGATAAAATTAGAATGTTATAATTTTAATAGTTAATAGTAAGAATCAAACAATTCTCTATGAGAACGATACTTTACTTCATTACTATAGTACTTGTTAACGATACGTGCACTTGCGTGATAAATCAACAACATTGTTCAAATCCTTGGCTAAGGCTATTTGGAGATAATAAAAAAAAGTTTCATAAGTCTCCATAAAGCTAATGATCTAACTTCAAGAACAAATATGGAGATCAATAAGAATAAACACTGCACCATGCTTTTATCATCTCTGGGATATATAATGAGGAAATGAATTACACTGATAGACTGTACACAAAAAGTTAGTCAAACCATATTGACTGTTTTAACATTTTGATGACTATGATGCATTGTTAGATGCCAATCTTAGTCTATGAAATTAAATTAATCAATTGGAAATTGATGATGAATATGATTCATTTAATCCTAATTCATTAAGATTATAATTCAAGTCCATTATCAACTTGTTAGGAGCTTAATGGGTCACACACATAAAATCACTATGTTAAGATTAAAATGGGCTCTTACAATTTAGTAAGACTTAATAGAATAAAGGTTATGAACTTCTATTGGGCATAATTAAAATGTTTAAAGAAGCCATGGGGTCAAATACTTAATTATCTAAAAGTTATGTGGTGATAAAAAAAAGTTACTTAAATATTAACCCTAACTATAGATATGTTGTTTTAGACTAAAAAGATAAGAGTACTTTTTCTTCCTAGTCTTGCTTTAGCCGAACATTGAAAAAAGAGAAAGAAAAGCTCTTCCACCTTGATTTGGTCAAGAGAAAGAGTAAGAAAAACACTTGAGCTTTGTAAAACCACCTTACTAGCACAAGGTTTAGTAAACAACAACCCCGACCTCTTGAAAAAGGTTCGATTTCATAGTGATTGTGTGGACTACATTAAAAGTCAAACATTTGGACAGTTTTGGTTTGCAACAACCAGACCTTGGTGTGCATTTGGGTGATGAAATATCTTTATTGCCCTGTAAGAATTTATACATTCTAAAGGTTAAGTTACAACGATTTTTTTGTTTATATCATAGCCGACCATGGTGATCCATGGTTTGGCTTCTCGAATTTTAATATTTCCATTATGTATTTTATTTATAATTCCGTGACTCGAGGAAACCAACACAAACTACATTCCAACCAACCAACCAAGGTGTGATACCAATTTATCTTTATTTTCCTGTTTTGACTGAAACAGTGTTGTTTTAGTGGATTAAGATCTTTATCTTGTTATTTTCAAAAATTTTTTGTTTTGTTTTGCTAGCTCTTTTTTTCTATTTCCTTTATCTTTTTTTCCTTCTTTTTTTCAGATTTTTATTATTTATTATTTTATTTTTAAAAAAAAATTTATTCATCTTTGTTGGTGAAACACTTTAAACAAAATGAAATGTCTACAGTTATCCCTATTTACACATTTCTTGAGAATCAAGAATTGTGCAAAAATGTAGACACTATTTAGGAAGGACTAAAAAATAGCTCCTTATCTTCAAACGAGGTTACACAACTTTTAAAATAATTGAAAAAGCTCACAAAGCTACACAACTTTAAAAATAATTAGGAAAACACATCATTTCTAAACAAGGATGTCTAAAATAATTGGAAAAATTCATCATCTCTAAACGAGGCTATGCAATTTGGAAAAACTCCCTATCGTAGCTCTAAAAATAATTAGAAAAAACTCCTCATCTAAATGAGGTTACGCAACATAATTGAAAAAGCTCCTCATCTCTAAATAAGGCTACGCAACTTTAAAATGATTGGAAAAGCTCTCCATCTCTTAATGAGGCTACTTAACTTTAAAATAATTAAAAAAGTTCCCCATCTCAAACCTCATTTAGAGATGAGGAGTGTTTCCAATTGTTTTTAAGTTATGTAGCCTCATTTAGAAAGGAGGAGCTTTTACAATCATTTTAAGTTGTGTAGCTTGATTCAGAGATGGGGAGCTTTTTCAATCATTTTTAAAGTTGTATAGCTTCGTTTAGAGATGAAGAGCTCTTCCAATCATTTTAAGTTGTGTAACCTCATTTAGAGATGAAGAACTTTCCTAATCATTTTAAGTTGCATAACTTCATTTAGAGATGAGGAACTTTTCCAATCATTTTAAGTTGCGTAGCCCCGTTTAGAGATTGGGAACTATTCCAATCATTTTTAAGTTACGTGGCCTTATTTTGAGATAGGGAGCTTTTTCAATAATTTTAAAATTGGGTGGAAAAACTCTCCATCTTTAAATGAGGCTATACAACTTAAAATGATTGTAAAAGCTCCTCCTTTTTAAATGAGATTATGCAACTTAAAATGATTGGAAAAGCTCCTTATCTTTAAACGAGGCTACACAACTTTAAAAAGATTGAGAATTTTCCTTTTTTTAATACCTAAGTTAATATCATCCTTTGAATGCATGTGATGCAAGATATCATGATATGTAAATGCTTAACTTCTAGGATGATGTCATTATCCATGTTAATGGTTTTTCAAAGAATTTAGACTTCCATGATCTTTGACCTCATGTCAACTTCTTTTAGATTGGATCTTCACGTTATTCAATGATCTGATCTTCTCTTTAATACATTTATTTCATTTTGACATTCTAGAAAGTTTAGAAGTACTAAACTCCTTATCAACTTTAAACCTCATTCAAAATAATAGGAGGATCTTTTATGTTTTTTATGGTCTATTTGTTCATTATCATTCAAATTTTCATGACAAATATGATGCACTGCACTTTTTCTTGGTTCATGATGAGGAGATAAAGAGATAATAAAATGGAGATTATTGAGGAAGGCATGATTTTTATTCAATATAGTGGAGAAATCAATATGAAGAATATGAAATAACAAAAGGTCAAGATTCCAAAAGGATATAGAATCCAAGTAATGAATGTTTGAATAATTATGACCAAACTAAATCTGAAAGTCTTTCGAAGTAAACATTTGTTGATGTACTTGATTCCTTTTGAACATTTCAAATTGGCTATTGCCTCTATCTTGTGGCATTTGTGCATCACATTGCCCCCATGCAATCAATCTTTGTACCTAAGTTGCCTTTTCAAGTTTTCAACTTAAATATCTCTTTTGGTTTCAAATTGCACTTTCGAATTTTCACTTTGAACTTTCTTTTTCTTCTTCTTCTTCTTCTTTTTTATTAGCATTTTATCAAGTATTCCATTATGCATTTGAGGAATTCGAAACTTTTCCAATACAAAAGATAACTTTATATCAAATCTCATTTTCTAGAGAGATTGTGATCCACACATGGACTACGTGTGTATAGCCCATTAGGCCCAAGCAAGCTTAATCAATAACGCATGGACTAGTCATCCATCGCATATACATACATTTTCATTCACAAATGAGGATATGCAAATAATCCATCAAGTCCGCCATATTACAGAACTTATCAATATAAAGTGCGGTTTCTATCACATTTCATATAAACATTCACAATGTCATAACAATTATGATTCGGCACACATTTTGTACCTATGTTACTATGGTTCATCTACTATAGTCTTATCATTCACATGCACCCATATCCAGGGCTCAACGTAATGTGCGGAAGTATAAACAAGTATGAAAGTTAACGAGGTTATACCTTAGCTTTGAAAAGATATTGTTTAAGAGGTTCTATCTAAGTCTTAAACAATTAAAAAAGCAGTTATACCTTAGCCTTCATATGGTATTTGTATTGATTAAATTCAATAGTGGATTGAACTCCTTAATAAGCTAAGGAAAAGGACATAGGCATCAAAAGGAAGGGTTAAACCTTTATAAATTGAGTTTGCATTTCTCTGCACACTTCACACTTTATTTTTTTTAAGCACTTGCTAAGAGTGCCCTAACTTGAATTAAGGTTTCAAAGAAATGTTATCTCAATTTACCAACTCAGTTGAAACAAGTTGCTGTTCTAGCCCTTTCCTTCCCCTGTTAACAGGTTCAAATATGTAGATATCCCCTGTCTTGATGTCATTGTCACGGACAAAGGCCATCCCCTCTTGAGTCACCCCCTCCCTCTTGGATTATTCATTGTATTTGAGCTAACAAATTTTTTAAAAAAATTGAGTTCATAAAGTTTCAAGTTCTCTTGTCCTATCAGTCATTTTCAAGAAAATGTGTTTTCAAGATTTAAATTTATATAATGTAGTTCAAGTTGGAAATTAATTGATTTTCTGTAAAATCAAAATGTGAACTTACATTATTTATCTTTTATATTTGACCACAATCAGGCTAAGTTAATTTGATCTTGATAAAGTAACAATATTATAGTCCGTAACATGATCTAATAAAATGAGCTAGAGTCCAATATTAAATATGGGGTTAAGAGTGTAAGCTTGTGTGGAAAACCTTAAATCTTATCGTGGGTGAGGGGATTAAAGATTCATTATATAAAGGCACCGCTGTCTCTTATATATTGTCTATAGAAAAATATTAAGATTCTCACCCATTAGAAAGTTAATGGATTAAGGAAGAGGGAGGTCTTAATGCATTGAATCCCAGCAGCTAATCAGGTCAGTATTATTTTGACTGTCAAATCATGTGTCAAGAATCAAACATGCTTTTGTATTCTAAATTCTTATTAAGGTAAATTCTGGATTAGTATAAATTAATTATAAATAATATTTATCACCCACAACATAATGTGCTCACTAATCCAATAAACTGTTTTCATTCACATTTGAGAAGAATGTTGATGCATTCTTCCAAGTTTTGTTCTTCATTTCTCAAATCATGAAGCAATTGAATCGTCAGAATTTACGAATTGATATACATAACCTCTATCGAGGTGCTACAATTGTTCATGGATAATGAATTAGTTGAAGCAACGTCTAGGTTGCTGGACAAAGAATCGTCCTCCACAAAATTTCTTTCTGTGAAATAGCCAGGCTTTTTAGGCTGAGGTAACGAAATCTCACTAGAAAGCATCAGAACTGCAGTTGCCATGCTTGGTCTATCTTCTGGACTTTGCTGCACACATAATAGACCCACATGGATTGATCGCAACACTTGGGAAGTATTGCATGAAGACCTTACCATTTCATCTAGCAATTCCAAAGGCCTGTCTTCATTATAAAGCCTCCAAGCCTGAACAATGTAGAAATTAATCACAGGTTAAAGAGAAGTAAAAAACTTAGTGGGAATGATATTTAATGGACCATTACATGCCCCAGAAGGTTCAGGTTGTGGCCCGGATGAGAGAATCCCCTGTTCCTCCTTCCACTCACTATCTCTAGTACCAAAACTCCGAAGCTAAATACATCTGATTTGATCGAGAAACAGCCATCAATTGCATACTCTGGTGACATGTAGCCACTGCACAAGATTGTTGAATGAATTAACAAATTTATAAACAATGAATATCAATAACATACATTCACTTAGAGTTTAGGTGGATCATTACTATGTTCCAACCACTCTGTTTGTGTTTGCTTCAGTCTCATCTCCTCCAAAACTTCTAGCCAAGCCAAAGTCCGAGATTTTTGGATTCATCTCATAATCAAGCAATATATTGCTGGCTTTTAAATCTCTGTGTATGATCCTGAGTCTTGAATCCTGGTGAAGGTAAAGAAGGCCCCTAGAAATTCCATTGATAATCTGGAACCTCTTAGGCCAATCTAGCAGTATGCTTTGTTTTTGATCTGTCAAATACTTTTCCTTGTTAGTAGGCTTCCATCAATTCGAAAGAATACATGCTAGCATACACATACTTGAAACTAAAGCTTGTGCTGAGAGCAGCACCAGGATAACTGATCTAACCAAATATAAAGGAGTCTAAACTTTTGTTGGGCATGAATTCATAAATCAGTATTATTTCTTGTCGCTCAATGCAACACCCTAGAAGCTTCACTAGGTTGCGGTGTTGAAGTTTAGAGATGCATAAGACTTCATTCTTGAACTCATCAATTCCTTGGCTAGATTTCTTCGAAAGCCTTTTTACAGCAATTTCTTGTCCCTTTTCCAATATTCCCTGAAAAGTTTAGTTTATATGAACTTAGAATAGCAGTTGTAAAGCTTTCATTCTTTATTTGTGCGTATAGATACCTTGTATACTGGTCCAAAGCCACCCTGCCCAAGCTTATTTTGTTGTGAAAAATTGTCAGTGGCTTTAGATATTGTATCAAAATCAAACAATGGTAGCTCTAAATCTTCCTTCCCTCTTTCTTTGTTTTTCTCTTCCCCTGGATCATGTTGTATGCTTCCTGTAAAGATGGGAAAATGGTCACAAAGGGGACTGACCAAGTAACATGGAGAAAGATTAACCACAGAACAACTGTATTGTCAATGGTAAATCTTAACCAGAATCCAAGAACACAACATGAAACATGAAATGGGAATGAAACTTGCCAAATCAGAATACAAAGTCTAGTTCCCCACAATGCCTCAACAGGCGAAACAGAAGAAATGCTAGTATTTAAGAGGAGGTTACCTTTCATTTTAAGTTTCTTCTTCTTCTTCCTCAACACAAGCAAGATCAGACAAAAGCCTAGAATGGCGAACCCAACAGATAGAACAGTGACGATGATGATCTTCAAATTTTTCTTCCTTTTGGATAATCGAGAAGCCTCTGCCATTTCCAGTTAAAGCATTTGTCATTAAGATAGTTTGTCCAAAAGGAAACTACTCTCTCATCTTCCTGTGTGCAGACACTAATTGATGTAGTTGTTAACTTGTCAATATGACTGTTTGAAATTGCCAAAGCTGGCACTTAATGGTTTCCTAGAACAGTAAGTCTTATTCATTGGAATTAAAATAAAAAATGTCGTACCTATTTCAGAAGCAGCCATCCTTATGTAGATAATCTCTCCATTCTCTTCAAACTCCCTCATGTCAATCAGATCACCAAACCAAAGTATACACCCACTTCCTCCATCTCTAATATCAAGATTTGCAAAAGCTGTGCAGGAGCAGTTCTCCAAGCATTGCTTCTTGCATTCTTTAAGATCCATGGTCCGGTTATACCAGGCGTGTCGTGAGTCCGGTAATTTGATTCCAGAGTACTCAAGAAAATCCTCTCCTTCCCCACAATTGAATCGGACCTTTCGGACACATCCATGTGTCCAATCTGCTGCCCCCCAGTCATTCGGATATTTAGGCACAAATCCTTTCAAACATCCACATGCTGGCGAATTGTTAATGTTGCAACTACCATGTGCACCACATAGCGCATATCTATCACAGTTATCCATCATTGCATTCAAGTAAAGCCTCCAGCCCTGGGTGCGATCGACCCATGTGAAACGCTGCAAGGCACCATCTGGACCTAGAACCATCCTGGAAACAACTGACTTATCTATAAGTTCATACTCGTAATATATCTCCTCATCATTAAAGACAAATTCGAACGTGTAAATAGGGTTTGGTTTCAAATTTGGCATTCCGGTGAACCTTAAACCATTCCAGTGTCCAGTCCTGAACAGCAATTCTGAATCCTCCCTTAGGAAAAACTGTGGCAACCCATCAGGATCAAGCCCATTTGTGTAATTACCCGAAGAAGGATCATCGATGCCCTTCCATGATGTTAGATATCGGTTCAGGCCAGTAACCAAGTTAATACCATACTTCATTCCTGGTAAAAATGTATCAGTTGGATAATCAAAACTTTGCCACAAAAAATTCCCAAGATTATCATCGCTTCCATCCCTCACAACAAGGTTTCCTGTATCCAAAAGTTGAGCAACTGGATTAGCAGTTGTGCTTGAGGAATTAGTAGACCAAACAATGCCATTGGTACTATTGACAAGAACCAGGTTTCCTTGGTCAGCAAAAAGTAGTTGTCCTTGTGTATCACTGAGAGGAGTATTTCTGTTGGCAACCCAAACTACAGTGCCACTAGATATTTTCTTGTACCATATTCCTACGTAACGATTGCCTGAACTTCCAGGGCTAAAAAATCCCAACTCAAAATCCCCGTCTGCTGAAGCTATGGTTTCACCATCTTTGATGGATTGGTTTGCACCAATGGAATCTACTGCAAGGGAGATTATTGCGAAGGAGAACAAAGAAAATACAAGAAGGAAAACCTTGAGGCCTACCATTATTGATGCCCTCAAGCTTCTCAATCAAATATCAATGACCGAATCAATATAAAGTGGTAATATATGAAGGCCGGAGACTTCATTAAAGCTTTTAATATGCCCCTTGACTATAACCTGTGGATATAAATGTGGCCATGTATTAGGCTAAAGTTTTGTTCAAATTTGTATGCAACAAGAACCCAAATAATATTTTGTTGGTATGATCAATCAATCATTTTCGTTTACAAAGTCCTCTCTATATATGGTATATCATTTTGCCATTGAGGATGTGCTGCTCATTCAATTCCATTTTGTCAATTACTAATTATTCCATTTATAGTTTGACTCTGATGGTTTCATGGATGAATAAAGATTAAAAAATAGAGGGACTGGAAGTTTGAAAATCATTAATATCGCAATGCAAGATCAATAAATCTATTTCATAGACCAAAAGATATCTTTTTAATGAACCTAAGTTAAGCGCATAGGATTTTTTTAGAATCGGTAGATTCAATTAGGTGATCAATCGTATCTAAACAAAGAAATGTTGACGATGGCTCCTCGTTTGCATCAAACAGTTGAGTTCGAACTCACACTTTATAACAATAATTTAAATATAAAATGTTGTGATTTGAAAGTTTCATATACAAATCCTAAACAAATATATACACTTATAAAACTTACGAGTTGCGAATGACAATCACACTTTTTTACTAGTTCAAAGTTTAATAAATTTTGGATTCAATTTTCATTAACCTTAAAATATTTGTAATATTATTTTATTTTATTCATTAATTACTATTGTTATTATTATTATAATTATTATTATGATTGATGTTGATGTACATGTTAGTTTTCCAAAAATATATATACAACATTTTGAATCATTGAGTTTAAATAGAAGGTAATAAGGAAAAGCTACTTGATTGGTTTTGTGTGGAGAACATGGATTAAGACATTATCAACATAGTAAGTATATTGCCTATTAAATTAGTGAACAAGTTAAAAACTAAAACATGTAAACATGGACCAGTCAAAAACATGTGAAGAGTTTGGACATGTAAAACATATTACAATATGTAGAAGTTAGGTGAGCTAATTTTTCATTGGAGACAGACTTAGTCCATTCAAATTCAATTGTTTTTTGTCAGCACAACAAATTACTACATTCATTACTTAATTCTTGTCACCAAGTCACATTTATTGACTATTGCTTGAGCAACTATTAAATTAGGAATAATTTAATGGTAGTGGATATATGCCTTATTCAAAGAGTCTTGATTTAAATCTCCTTTCACATATCAACAACCCAAAAAAAAAAAAAAGAAAGCACATTATCTTCTATATTAAATCAAGGCATAATACCTAAAAAAGAAAAACCCTTGAATTATTAAAAAAAATTAAATAAACTTTTATTCTTTTTTATCAATCTCTTGTAATTTTATTTTAGCATTTTGCTCAAAATAAAAAATTCAAGGGTTTGATTGAACACAATAAAAGTATAAGAGCTTATTTAAAGTTTCTTGAATAATTTAGGAACTTTTTTAGATATGACATCTAATTGGGGTATACTAGAGAAAATTGGTGTTTGAGATTTTAACTATGTAAGTCTAATTTTTTTTTCTTATTGAAAAAAAGGGGATTCAAACTCAATTAGTACATTAATTAAAGATATAATATCTAAAAAAACCTTAAACTATTTATTAGATATTATAAGGGCTTGATTGTGTATAGAGAGCTTTTGATTTTGTTTTTGGACAGGTCTTATGCCTTTTGTATAGGGATTGGGAGTGATGATTTTTCACATCCAGATTTAATGAAATTTGCATACTTTTCAAAAATAAAAAATAATAAATTTGTATACTTTTACTTTGAATCAAATAAATTTTTATAATTAATGATGGGTTTATTTAAAATACCAGTTGTCATTTTATGCTACACAGTATTGATGTGGTATTAATATGGTATGTTGATATGTCATAATGATGTAATATATTGATGTGACATAATGACATGATGATATTTTATTTTTCATTCTTTACATTAATGCTGCTGTAGTGCTACGAGGATATAAAATAACAATAGATATTTTGATTATTGACAATTAATTAACCATTAGTTATTAAAGTTTATTTGACTCAAAATAAAATTATTTAAATTTAATTAAATACAATAAAAAAAATTTTATTTAAATTTTCTTAAATAGCTTAGAAGTTTTTTAGCATCATTGCTAAATATAAATACTAAGATGCTATTTTTCTTAATAGAAAAAGAAAAATATATTGCATACAAAATCAATGGGCCCATAACTGAGAGCCCAATAGATGGTCCTTTGATATGGGCTCCTGGTGGCCCTAGGCCTTGATTAGCAGTCCATGGCGGTAACCCCGGCCTACTTCAGATTAGACTCAGACAATCTGGTGCGATAGGAGTATTATTTAATTGAATCAATAATGTTTTTTTATTTAAATTTAATTGAAACATAACATTGAAATATTAATATAAAAATACATTATTTCTTAATTTAATTTTTATTTTATTATTGCATGCGGAAGTGGCCAAAGTGAAGGAAGATTCAAGAGAATTAATGAAACCAGAAAGAGATAGGATGAAAAATAGAACTTTGAATTTTTCAAGAATGATAAGTGTGTCTCATGAGTTCAATTGGTCAATGCCCCAATTGACCCTTCAACATTAATTCAAGTAATTAATTCTGTTAATAAATACATTCTGAATCTTCCTTCAAAATTAATTACTAAATAATTACTTGCTGGATTTGGGTTCCCCACAGTAGATCACCTTGGTTCAGTCCTTGTCTCATCTGCTTGGGTCAATAGAAGAGGGTTGTGGCATTTCTCTTCCACCAAGAATAGAAAAACAAATACGTTGCAATCAAAGATATTATCAACTGTCCATAGTCCAAGCAAGAAAGCCACGAGGGCCATATTGCTATCCAAAAAGTCCGAGTTTTGAATTGTCATGTGACTAACTGTGTTTATTTTCTATTAGCCCTAACTTGTTTTCCAAGTCAAACTTAGTCCAATTAGATGGTAGCAGAAGAAACAATGCTACCCTTTTTAATTCTGATATTCAGCCAATGCAAACCATTTTCTTCATTCTTTTCTTAGATGATACTCTATGCTCCTTAGTACTTATGTCCCTTTCTGGGTTATAGTTTTCCAATTGATTCATGCATGTTCAGTGTATATATAGTAAAAGTTTCATGGGTTAAAACATACTGCAAAATTCCGCAACGCATGAGCTAGCTCTTTTACTTGTTTCTTTGTTAATGGTAATTAATGACGAGCCTCGCTTTGATCTTGTTCCGCTGTCTAGTTTCATTTTCAGGCTTGTACTATTGTTCTGCTGCTAATTCCTTAACTCCAACTCAATCCATCAGAAATGGCAGCACCTTGGTTTCTTCAGGCCAAAGCTTTGAGCTAGGCTTCTTCTCACCTGGTAAGTCCAAGAACCAATACTTAGGGATATGGTACAAAAGGTTTCCTGATGTTGTTGTATGGGTTGCTAATAGAGAAAACCCAATTAAAGATTCACACGCCATCTTTAACATTTCAAGCACTGGTAATCTTGTTGTCTTTGATGGAGAAAACAGTACTGTCTGGTCATCCAATGCATCCAGAGCAGCAGAAAATCCAGTTGCACAGCTGTTGGATTCAGGAAATTTTGTTGTTAGAGAGAAGGATATTGAAGATACAAATAGATACTTATGGGAAAGTTTTGATTTTCCCTCGGACACTCTACTGCCAGGGATGAAGATGGGATGGAACTTATTGACTGGTGTAAATCGATATTTCACAGCCTGGAAGGATCTTAATGATCCAGCTCCTGGAGATTTTACTTACCGAGTTGATAATAATGGCTTGCCTCAGCTTGTTCTTCGTGAGGGAATGAAGAAGAGGTTTCGAACTGGGTCATGGAATGGAATTGGATTTAGTGGTGTTGGAATGCAGCAAAACACAGTTTTGAATCCTATTTTTGTTGACACCGCAGAGGAGCTTTACTATAAGTTTGAAGTGAAGGACACTTCTGTCATAACAAGATTTACGGTGAATCAGTCGGGCTTGCTTCAACGTCTTGTGCTGTTTGGAAATAGCACCGAATGGACGGTCATGTACACTGTGCAGAACGACTTGTGTGATGATTATGCAAAGTGTGGCCCTAATGGAATTTGCAGAATCAATAAAAGGCCAATTTGTGATTGCTTGACAGGGTTTCATCCCAGATCACAACACCAGTGGCAAGTACTCAATTGGACTGGTGGATGCGTAAGAATGACCCCGTTAGATTGCCAGAAGGGAGAGGGATTTGTGAAACTTGCAAACGTAAAATTGCCAGACATGTTGGAATTCAAGTTTAATCGGAGCATGAACCTGGAAGACTGCAGGGCAAAGTGCTTGGAGAATTGTTCTTGCACAGCATATGCTAATTCAGATATTTCTAATGGTGGTAGTGGATGTTTGATGTGGTTCGGCGATCTGGTTGATATGCGGGAATTCATTGATGGAGACAGTGAGCAAGATATCTATATTCGGATGCCAGCTTCAGAACTAAGTAAGTGAACCTGAAATGGACATCTCTTCACTTTTTAATGGTAACCTTCATTCGAGCGTGGACATTAAACTGGTAACTAAGTCATGATTTTGAGTATTATACTGCAAGTATCAACCTAAAATGCCCAAGGACTTTGAAAAATGTTCTTACTTATCAGTTTATGATAATTATTGAACTGCCCTAGATATGAATGACTTGAACTTGCTGGACCATGACAGTTACTGCTGCATTTTGAGTTGTAGGTAAAGAATCAACAGGTGAATCAAGTTGGAAAAGTAAAAAAACAATGCTTGCGTTGGCCGCATCGACGATTTTTGTGCTGCTTGCTTCCTTTTTGGCATGGTATACGATTTGGAAGAATAAGAGAAAGAGAAGAGGTAAACAAAGTAACCCATCGGCTGCTGTTAGTATTACCCCAAGACTATGAAATATGAGGAACATGTTTGTGCCCTAAGCGAGTACTACATCCAACATCATTTCTTGATAATGCATGGCAATATGTGTTAGAATTATAGTAAAGCTTGTACTTTATTTAAGCCAAAGTCAGTATGTAGGTCACGTGCAGGTGCATAACAAACATATCTGCCATGCATCTGACACTGACAATGTCATTTTATATTTCAGTGCATAGCCGACCAAGCCATCTGTCTTGTCCTATGCATGCCTTACTAGTCTGTTAGCCCCTGTTGTAATGACTTTCTCTCTCTTTCATTTTGTTATCAATATGCACTTCTTACGCTGCAAAGTAGTAAGTAAAAGTTGGACTCAGTTAAATTTCTTCCTAACTTTAGATTCATAATCTTGCTCTTTCACATGTAGGATCAGCAACAGGCAGAGAAGACCTGGAGTTGCCGTTTTTTGATTTTGCTACCATTGCATCTGCCACCAATAACTTCTCCAATTCAAACAAAATAGGAGAAGGCGGTTTTGGACTTGTGTACAAGGTAATAGAGATGATGTCCGCTTCATTGTATAATCCATTGAAGGGAAGGGTGACCTTAGTTCTTACACACAATAATCGGCAGGGTGAGCTACTTAAGGGACAAGAAGTAGCGGTGAAGAGGCTCTCAGGGAATTCCCAGCAAGGCGTGGAAGAGTTCAAGAATGAAGTTGCAACGATAGCTAAGCTTCAGCATAAGAATCTTGTCAGGCTTTTGGGCTGTTGCATTGAAGGAGATGAAAGGATGCTCATCTATGAGTTTATGCCTAACAAAAGCTTGGATTGCTTTATTTTCGGTTCGTTTATCTAATCTCCACTCTCTTTTGCCTCCACTTCACTCGTAAAATTTTCAAAATCTCCACTCCATTGATATGTTAGTACAGAGTCCTTTGTTTTGGTCTTAAAATTATAATAAAGAAAGTAGTAATTAAGATGAACTCGGATGGAATGCCATGCAGATCAAATTAAGAGAGTCATGTTGACCTGGCCAAAGCGTTTTCAAATTATTGTGGGAATCGCAAGAGGACTTCTTTACCTCCACCATGATTCAAGATTGCGAATCATTCATAGGGATTTGAAGTCCAGCAATATCTTACTAGACAATGAGTTGAACCCCAATATTTCAGACTTTGGTATAGCTAAAATGTTCAAAGCTGATCAATTCGAAGCCAAAACGAAGCGAGTAGTTGGGACATAGTAAGTTGATTACAACTTTCTTGTGTTAAAAAAATGCATTTCCACCATTTTTGAAGTTTATGTTTGATTTCTTTTTAGTGGTTATATGTCTCCAGAATATGCAATTGATGGAAAATTTTCCATGAAGTCAGATGTGTTTAGCTTTGGGGTGCTTTTATTGGAGATAATAAGTGGCAAACGGAACAGAGGCTTTAATCATCCAGATCATTATCACAATCTTTTGGGACATGTGGGTACAAGTGATTAAGCACTACTTTTGCACCCTCCTTGCATGTTTTCTCATTAGCTTTTCATACATATCAAAATTGACATGTGAAATTGCAATTTGTTTTAGGCATGGTTGTTGTGGAATGATGGCAATGGTTTGGAGCTGATGGATCCATGTTTGGAAGATTCATGTGTTGAAGCCCAAGTTCTCAGATGCATTCAAGTGGGTCTACTATGTGTACAGAAGCACTCAGAAAATAGGCCAGTAATGTCATCTGTGGTTTTGATGTTGAATAATGACGAGGTCACACTACCTCAACCAAAAGAGCCTGGATTTTTCTCAGAAAGAAGTTCCTGCGATACAAATACATTAGCTTTGTATGGAACATCTTCTACTGAAAATTTAGTCACCATTACTATGCTAGAAGCTAGGTAAAAAGATAGGGATAGGGATGTAAATGGGCTATTATTATATGGGAATTTGCAGGTACCCAAACCGATAACATAGAGTTTGGGTATCCTATATTCGGTTATGGAGTGGATTCGTGTAATGCTTTTAATATCCGACTCAAGTTTGAGTAAGTTCAATCTAAGGATACTTTAAACTTGAACCCGATTATACATATACATATATGTATTATATAATATTTCAATAATTTGCAATTAGTAATATTTTGATTTATTCTGTCCATGAGATAGCTCCCAATTTCATTCATGAAACTGGATCCAATCTTGCTGATTTATTTGTGCATCTCATGCATACTTTGACCTGCATATCCGGATTCTTTAATATTGAATTAGTTTTTGCATAATCAAAGATTAAAAGGTACAAATCAGAACTATCTAGAAATTCAAAATAATTTCAAAACAAAATAAAAAAACACAAGAACAATTCTTGTTAATTACCCCGAACACAACATATTCATGTTTAATAAGAAATTAACAATAACAAGAAATGAAATTGTGTTTAAAACGAACCAAGGATGGCTCTGATTCCATTGAAAGAAAACAGCATGAGAGTGTGATCAAATCACACATGTAGAAGAAAAAATGGATAAAATTAAAATCAAAATTTCTTATATTGTATCCCATGGATCTCCTTGGTGTTTAACATAATAAAAAAATGAAATATTCTAAAAATAATATTACCTAGTCAACTGATGCGGTGATCATGATGGCCACCGTTTTTCTTGTTTTGAACCTGTGATACACCACAAGAAAGGAAGAGAACTTAAGCCACTCCATTGCTTGGCCTCCAATGGTTGCACATACAACTGCAATGGATCTTTCTCATGAAGGGAATCTCTGAACCATGTCAATATGTCATATGGTAGTTTTTCATACAGCCCAATCATGTGGCCGTAAACTCACCCTTAGCTTGGTTTATGAATCCAAGTAGGCCTAAAACATACTTACCAGCCAATCTTTAAGGCCACAAAAACCCTAAAGCACACAATATGCAATATGAAATGCAAGCACACCTAGTTAAGCACTAAGCCTCAGCCCAACAAACCATTAGCACAAAAACAACAAGATAAGGCCCCAAGCTAGCAAGCACATAGCACACCCACAAGCATGAGGCCTCAGGCCAGGAAGCACGCATCAAAATATTGAAGAAAGGAGAAAAAAATGTGCTAGAGAAATTTTAAGAGTAAAGAATTTGTATTAAAAAAGTCAACAGCTGTACAAATGAATCGTAAGGGGTATTTATAGCCAAAAGTATCTCCAAGATTCAAAAATGTTATATAAGACAGTTTTAGGCGAGATTCCCTTCCCAGTTCAAATTCAAATAGTTCAGCCTATTACAGGTGTTATAGTGGTGTTCCAGCCCTTCCACTAGGTAGTTTGGTGCCTCTAACCCTTTCTTAAGTAGTCTGCCTGGACGCTGTGTGAGCTGGCTCCAAGGTTTGCGAGATGGCTTACCACTGTCCTACTACTACCTCAACCATGTGTGGGCTGGCTCACTTAAGCATTATGCTATGCGCCCCACTTATACAACTTGCACATGCACCATGCTACCAAACGGGGGTTCTTTCCCAACAATACTCCCCCACAAGCCGACACTTCGAGACACCTCATAACCCCTTCTAAAGCCCTGAACTACTGCTCGTGATAGCCTCCCTTACCTAAACTGGCAGTGCCCTCAATGTCTTGTGAAGGCATCGATTTGATCCTAGAACTGCCATAAGTTCATCACAAGCTGCTAGTTAGCTTCATTCTCAAGCAACCCCTTCCACTTCACAAGGTACTAATGTTGGGGCATATGGTGCTGTCGTTTGAGTACCCTATCAACTAACACCTCTTCCATTACTCTATCATATGCTACCTTGACACCTAATGGAGCCTTGTGGCTCACCCTCTGTTAGGTTCTCCCATATCACCATGGTGGCTTTTAGCATGCTAATCTGGAATACTGGGTGCACTTTCAAGTTTGGCAGCACGTCTAGTCTGTAAGCCACATTACCTACCCTCTTAATCATCCAATAGGACCTTTCATACCTTTGAACAAGTCCTTTGTGTATGCCTTTGTTCTTCAAAACCATATGCAATTTGACCATCACTATATCCCTCACACTAAAATGAGTTTCCCATCCGGTCTAATCTACCCATTTCTTTGCCCTTTTCATAGCTTTATGGAGAACAGCCTAGGCCAATTCAAGCTACTTTTTCCAATCTTTAGCAGTTTTGTAGGCAACTGATGCTAGACTGGTATAACCCACTACAATGGTGCAAAGGGTGTGGGGCTGTTACCCTTTCATAAACTTAAACGGGTTTTAACCAGTGGACTTGTTACGCTATAAGTTGTGGGAGAACTAGGCCATATCAAGCCACCTCGACCAATCGGTCTGTGTGCCCTGCACAATTACCTGCTCAGTCTGTCCATTATTCTGCGGGTGGTTGCTAGTGGAAAAACATAATTCTAACCCCAGCAATCTAAATAACTCTATTAGAACTTTCCTATGAACCAGCCATCCTTATCACAAATTATGGTTCAAGGCACCCCCCAATACTTCACTACATGCCTCAAGAATATCTTAACAGCCTCTTTAGCGGGACATTCCCTCGTGGTAGGAATGAATGTGGCATACTTAGTGAATCTGTCTACTACCAAACCTATCAGCCTTAGGCAACCCCATAATGAAGTCCATACTGACATTGTCTTAAGGTTTATTGGCACCAACAACTGTTTTAGCAGTCCTTCAAGCCTCTACTGTTCAACCTTAGGTTTTTTTTTCTAAAGCTACTAAGATTTTTTCTTTCGAATCGCCTTTTAGGATTTTCTTAGAGTTCCCTCCCCCTCATTTTTTTAGCCTTTTATACTAGCAGAGTGTGCCATTCTTAGTACCCTTCAATTGTTAGATCTTTTCCTTGGCTTGTAATTTTTAGCCAAGTGACCTTTTCCAGGGCGTGAAAACCACTTTGGGCAGAAGGCACATTTGGCCTTGTATATTTTTGTTTCTGGACAACTAGACCTAGTTTTTCAGAAAGTTCATGTTTAATTTAGCTTAATTGTGTTTATTTAATCTGTTTTAATCCCAATTACCCTTATTAATCTTGTTTATGGGCCATGCTTTGAGAATGGGCTCCGAATATTTTAAAGAGAGACTCGAAAAGCCCAAATAAGGCTTGTGCCCTTGGACATTTAAAGACCCAATATGCACTCAAATATTCAATTAAATTTGGATAAATAATAAATAAAATGATAAAAATTAAAATAAGAGAAACAATTATGATAAAAAAATGGTGTCTACAGCATCGTGTCGAGCCCATGGCCTTATAAAAAACCACTTTTCCCCCTATTTTAGAACCCTAAGCAGCATTTTTTCACTCTTTTTCTTCCCCACTTGCAAAATTTCACTCTCTTTTCACTTACTAACTACAATATCACTTCCAAACACCAATTTTCTAAGATTGAGGACATGTAGATTTGGATATTTGAAACACATTGGGTAAAATTGTGGTTGTGGATGAAAAATGGAGATGTGAGGATCAACCATTACATATTAGAGGGTTGATCTTTAGCCATCAAAACATATGAACAATGTTTTATTTTAAGAGAAGGTCCACCCCTTACACTCCAAAAGGTCGATCCCTATAGAGTCATTGGTCCTATGTTGGTTATTTAAGCCTTATTTGTGAAAATTTGGTTAAGAAATTTTATAATGAGAGTCTAGGGACTTTGTGTAGAATTTTATCTCATGGAAGTAAGGTTGAGAACACTTGATTACCTTGAAAGGTCATAGTTGATATATTATCTAAAATTGCATAATATTTGGACTTTGTTTACGAACTACTACCTTGTTTGGCTTGTTCCCCTTTTTTGTGTTTGCTCACTAAGATTTTATATCTTACACTTGTGGATTATTTTGTTTATTGATTAGTAGATCTTTTACGTGGCGTATGTGTGAAGTCCTTGGTTACTCAAACTTTAGACGCAAAGGAAAGAGGGGCTAGTAGGGCCCCCCGCCCTCCCTAAAAGTTTTGAAATTTTTATAACAGCTTTTATTTTTTTTTGAAATTTTATAATTTGCTTTTATAATAATTTTATAACATACCCTTATTTTTTTAGAATTTTATAATTTTGTCCCTACAATAATTCCATAATTTTGTCCCTTTATTTTATAATTTTTATAACATACCAATTTGTCATTTGAATTTGTGTGTATCTTGCATCTTATAAAAAAAATTGTTGGAGATAACAAATGACCTTTCAAAAGCTTACAACTTAAGTCTCAAGACATATTAAATGCAATTTGTTTAGTATCACTTACTAAAAAGTGTCTCCAACAATTGAGAGAAGATGGTTGGGAACCTTTGCTTGTGTCAGTGAAGAAGTTTTGTGAGAGATATGAAATTGGGATTCATGAAATTGGGGCTAGATATAAATTAGGCAAATGTCATCTTTAAAAAGATCATGTCACAACTAAGCACCATTGTCAAGTTGATTTGTTTTTGGCTACAATTGGCTTACTCTTACAAGAATTGGATTTTAGATTTACTGAGAATGTGGTGGAGTTGCTCATTCTTGGCACATCTTGGGACTTTGAGAATGATTTCAAATCGTTTGATATTGATCTGATAACTTTACTAATAATGGTAAAATGCATCTAAGCTATTAATTAGTTCTATTCAAATTTGACATTCTTCATAATCAGGTTTTAAAAAATGTATCTGTACTTTTTAAGCTATATCAAGTGTTAAAGAAGACGAGATTATCAAAAGTTTACTTCCTCATTGACAGATTGATCCAGCTTGTCTTAACTTTTTCAGTTTCCATTACAATATTAGAGCATGCATTTTGTAGTATGAAACTTATTAAGAACGAGACTTGTAATAGAATGGGAGATAATGATTTTAAAAATTCGTTAATCATTTTCATTGAAAAGGAAATCATTTAAGGCTTTGATATTGATTTAGGGATAGATGCCTTTAACTTTATGAAAGATTGTCGAGTTCAATTAAAGATGTTCAAGCTTAATATGCAATAGTTGTTAAAAAATATCTTTTTTTTTTGTACTCAACACGTA